GAAATGTCTCCATAGAATTTGGAGACACAGCACTTCGGGTCTATTTGTAGGCAGTCACCAATTCAAAGAAAGGAGAAAATGGGCTCAATTGGACGACTCCAACTCCGCATAATGCGGAGTTGATTACTGAAATTAAGCAACAACCTTTCAATTCAATTAGCAATTATGATTAAAATTTAACAGTTTAAGACTATATAATGATCTACATAAGTACAATAAAGCCAGAAATAACGTTCACGAGCATTGATCAATGTCCAAGCAAGAATATCAAAATGTGGTTCCCAGAAAAATAATCAAATGAGATTCAATATGAACTCTGAAACCTTAAGGATATTGAGAAGGAAATGTAAATAATTACCTGATTCACATAATCTAACAGTATAAAAATTGCCGCAAGATTCAATTACACTTAACCCAACCAGAGGAACAAATCTAAGGTTTTCCATAACTAGGAAAAAAAAAACCTCAAAATTTGTACCTGACATAACAGACAAAATGCGTAAAAATCTGACTTCGAAAGCTTCCAGTAATCTCCAAACGGTCAATCTTTTCTTCATTCTGAATATCAAAGGTAAGATCAATTTCCAAATACGTGATCCTACACATTTATGGTTTAGACAAGTATATCACAATGTAGGCAACCTAATGTCCTTAAATTTAAGGTTTAAAATATGATATATTGGAGGATAACTGGAAATAGAAAACATAGCCATTCGAGAAATAATGAACTAAAGTTGTCAATTGCCTGCATGACAGGTTGCTCTTTAAACCAGGCAAGATTGCAGACTCTTTAAGGCAATCAAAGCTATCACTTAATAAATCAAAGCCAACAGTATATTAACAGAACGGATAATTAATATAACAGATAATATACTGTATACGGTAAAGCCAAAATGTCAATTCACTTTTCTTTTTGCTTTCTTTTGAGGAGGGGTGGGATTTGTCTTTCTTCCTTTACACTTTTTATTGGAGATAGGGGAAGGCGAACCACGAAAAGGGGGTCCCGCTGAGAAGGAAGAAATTATAACTTACCTTTTTTGTACAGGCCACAAAATTGCTACTCAAATTCCATGGTGTTATCTGCAGTTCTCTCTCAATGTGTGATGCAGCGGCTAAAGCAATTGCTTTATCTGGCAGTTGATTCATTGCAGACAAAAGTCCTGCAGGATGAGTGACCTTCTAAATCTTCCACGTTTCTGTTCAAAACTTTTAATGTCACCGATAACATTTGTAATTACTAATTTTTTTGCATAAAAAATACAAGTTACACGATACTAAAGAACTTCCAAAATTTGAGCCCAATCCAGTGGACATCATCCCCAAGAAAAATTTTACGAACGTGAAAGCCACAACTCATGATTNTGAAGACAGAGAATGCACAAGTAGAGTAAGTTAAAGCTCCTAATGACAATGCATTATCTTTCCATTATATTTAACAAAACTTTATATCTAAAGAATACAATAAATCTAATGTTAACATTAGTTATATTTCTGAGAATGAAACAAGAATAAAATAAGGGGAAAACGTACAGTTGGACCTACAAGCAAAGACGTTCGAGAATCGATAATAGCAGCACAACTACCCTCACCACCACCCTTTTCTACTTTCGTATCATGATTAAGATAGGCCATTTGTTCTCTGTAGCATTTGCATTGATGATCAACAATATTCCATAGCCTTTGTTTGTGTGTGATTCAATGAAGAAAAGTAAAATAGGCAGCAACTTGCTAGAAAACAGAAAAACACCATTGAGCAGAAAAGAAAAATAAAATTCAAAAATTGTAAAATGTAACCACCTTGCAGCAAGTGCTTGTGGAAGAGAGATGAACAATAAACCACCTTGCCGGCATAATAGAGAAGGTGCTCGGCAGCGAGGGAGATGGCCACGATGATTGTACATACTGCGGCAGCCACCCAAGTTGGGGTGAACTCTAACATTGCCCTTTCCTCTTCTCCATCGTCACTCATTTTTTCAAATCCGACAAAAATCACAAACCCACCTTACAAATGTGAAAATATCTCCTTGCAAACCAATTAAGAAAAAAGATTCAAATTCAACCAAAACGGAATTTAAATGATCAGGGGTGGATCAAGGAAATTTGGGTACATGGGCTAAAATTCAAAGTCAATAGGTACGTTTTTGAACTAAATTTGGATTCGACATCAATATATATCACCTGGCCATCTAAGCCTCCATAGGTAGAAGGCAAGGAAGCTAGTAGTGCCAGCTTCAGGCAAAAGTAAAACTATAGGTGCAAAGAATAAAAGTGGATCAGCTCAACAGATAAAAAACCTAATCACCACGCAGAGGACACACGAGAGACCAAGTGACACAGAACACAAGCACAGAAGTTAAATTCTACAATTAGTTTATCCAAAACAGATTTTCATGCTTTAGAATGAATTACAAGTCAATGATATGTAGCCACAATCAATGGTATTTGCTCAACCCATTGGCAACTTACATATTTAGGAGGAATAACCTTGAAAATAATGGTATCAAATACATGGGAATTACAGAATATGAATTGGTCTAGATTAGACTAATCAATTGTCTAAGGGAACAAGCATGATGTTCGTTTG